TCGTTCGCCTTCAAGACAAATGCACTCAGTGAGTAGCTCATAGAAATTCCTCGGAAGCGGGGCTGGAGAGATGGCTCAGAGGTTAAGAGCACTGGCTGCTCTTGCAGAGGTCCTGAATTCAATTCCCAGCAACCACATGGTGGTTCACAACCATCTGAAATGAGATCTGGTGCCCTCTTCCTGACTGTAGGCATACAAGCAGACAGAATGCTGTATACATAATAAATAAATAAATAAATCTTTTTAAAAATTCCTAGGAAGAACTTGGATGCTGGCAGGACCTGATCTCATCAGGCACTGGCCAAGGATAGAGCCCCAGACCTTCCTATGGCAGGGGAGAGGAAGGCCTATGAATCAATACAAAATGCAAGCATTCATCCACAATATCCTTGCATTTTTCACTTCAAATTATATCAATCTGGTACATTAAGAATATAAAATATGTAAAAGTTATTATTTAAGAGGATTTGGTAAAACATAAATACATATGTTGCTTAGTGTCTTTAATTCCAATTCTGACATTCTAAGACCACATGAATTAGCTTGAGTAGAATATCCTGAATTCCATGACTCTTGGCACCACAAGCTCCTGATATGATAGAGCCTCAATAAAATGTTTGTTGAATATACTTTTTTTTTATTAGGCTATAGCAAAGGAAACGATTTAGTGACACTTCTTAAATCCTGAGTCAAGTTATTAAACAATTATTTCTTTAGAAAAAATAATTCTAGAGCCATGGATGGTGGCACATAGCTGTGAGCCCAGCACTTAGGAGGTGGAGGCAGGAATATCTGGAGTTACAGGCTATCCTCAGATACATAGTGAGTTCAAGGATATCTTAGGCTACATGAGACTCCATCTGAAAATAACAACACAAACAAGACCTCCACAAAACATAGGATAGGAAAAAACCCTTGGCTGAGTGGCCAGAGTCCCAGCTCACCACTGGCTAGAAGCTCTGGACTGTGAGTCTCAGAGACACTAACCACTAACAGGGCTGCTCGTTATATCACCTGCCTTCAGGACAACACGAGTTACAGTTCCTATGAAAAACTTGAATGCCACTCAGACTTGTTCTTTCCACAAAACGTGTGTCTCTCCATGTGGACCTCGGGAGTGTTCTAATCACAGACCAGCTCTGAGGACCTCGGGAGTGGTCTAATCATGGACGGGCTCTGTAGACCATGATTGCCATTGTTTTAAAGAGACAGAATTCATGTGAGCTGAACAGGAGTGTTGGGTCGGTTTACTCCAGTCTTTCCAACCACGCTCAAATCTAGAGATAATCCCTGTCACTATTCTCCTAAGGTGGATGACTAAAGGTTCCCTCTGTGAACACAATTGACAAACATCTAGGGCTGTGCACCATGCAACCAAAGGCCGTAAGAGCTGGAGTGGATTGCGTTTCTAATATGAGGGAATTTAGACACAGGGATATTTCAGAACACACCATTGACGCAGAACGATAGACCAGTGTTCTTTTCACAATATTATATCCTCACAGTAGAATAAAACAATCATGTAGCTATTCAGTGTTTACCGGGGCAAGCCTTATTCTTAAATAAGTGATTTTTTATAAGGTTCAAATTCAGTATAATAAATACTTTGGACCCTTGGATATTGACACTCGTTGTATGTCAGACAAGATACTAAGCGCCCTACGTGCATCAACGTATGTGACATTCAGCACACCCCTACGAGGGATGGGTCAGTATAGCATCCATTTTGCCAAAATGGATGGAAAGCAAACCGAAATGGAGGGAAATTAAGAATTCAGCAAAATTTAATTTGCAAACTGGGGATGAAAGCGAATGGGTAGAATGCTTGCCTACCAGCACAAGGCCTGGATTCCATCCCCAGCACTGCACAAAACCAGGCGTGGTAATCCTAGCACTCGGGAGGTAGAGGCAGGGAGATCAGAAGTTCAAGGCCATCCTTGGCTACATCAAGTTAGAGGCTAGCCTGAGCTACAGGAGACTCCTGTTTCTCAGATAATCAGTGCTCCCCGCGACTAATGCCACCACCGGTGTTGCATGTGACAAAAGGTGTGTATTTGTAACACTTCTTCATGATAAGCCTTATCAGACTGCTTGTTTGTCTTAGCCTGAAACAAAACACAAGAACGCTTTTCTGCAACCTCTTCGCCCTCTTCCCTCCTCTGACGCACACATTCAGACATCAATTGGGAAAGTTCACCTCCTCAGTCACATGTGCCCTGAGAGAAGTCCCTGGTTGAAATGGGAAGAATAACCCCATTCCCTCAGTAGCTAAAGCCTCTAGAGTTAACCTGACTTTCCGTTCTTTAAACTCTACAGCAAACCCATCAGCAAAGCCCTAGGACTACTTCTTCGGGCTACTTCCCACCTCCCATTGCTCCCCTGCTATCACGGGGAGCCTAATCCAACCTCAGATCCTGATTTCATCTTCCCCATACAGTCCGTTTTTTATAAAACAGGGCTCCTTTAGAAACGGTCCAAAGATTGCCTGGGCCACTCAGAGTGAAAATGAAAGTCCTTATGATGCCCAGCGGCTGGTGCAGCCTAGCCTCCCATCACCCCACCCTCTGCTTCCCCACACCCAGCCATAGTGCGTTCTCCCTCCGCCCCTGCTCTGTGGGAAGCTGAATGATGGTCGCAACTACGTTCCTACTAATTCCCCGAAAGAGGTGAATGTTACTTAATGTGGCAACGTGAACTCGTAGATGAAACTAAACTAAGGCTCTTTAAATGATACTATCTTAGGTTATTATTAGGTTCAATCTAATTGTCTTGCCAGAGAGAGAGAGAGAAGAGAAGGAGGGGACAAGAAGGAGGAGGAGGAAAAAAAGGAGGAGAAAGAAGCCAAAGTACAATCTGTGGCCTCTTCATAACATAATGTTGCTAAGACAAAATGCCAACTTAAAGAGCTTCAGTCTAGTATCTGCCTTCTATCATGGGAGTTTAACAGTTTAGGAGCTCCTTGCTACTGTCACGCAGCATCTTTCATTGCTGGTACCAGCAGGAGACACCCTCATTCCTTTCTCCAAACCCCTCTTGGGGCTTGATTCCAACCCCAAGGCCAGGATAATTTCCACGGGGATCATCACTTTGCCAGGTCATGTCTTGATGGACTAGTGAGGATGGTAATGACCCTCCGTGTCTCATTGCAAGAAATGACGTGGATATTTCTGTCTTGAGAAGAAATACATCTAGTTTCCCTTTGTTAAAAGTTGGTTTGGACAGTGTGATACCGTTTTGATGTAAACACAGAGACGGGCAGGCTGCTTGGTGTCACCTCCTCCACAGACCCTCTACTGGCCTCCCCTTGTTCAGCTCAGCATCGTCTCCAGAACACACACAGCCCTTCTCTGTCCCGCATGCCCACTGTCCTTCCATCCTTCCTCTTACAGCAAGGTGTTCGTTTCTCAAGAGCCAAAGTCACATCTTCCACAGCCCTTCTCCCCCAAGTACTTGGCATAGTACCACCCAAGTATGAAGGAAGCTCCATGCAATCTTTTTAAAATGCAGGTTGAGGAAGACCCAATATGAAAAACAAATTAGAAAACAATGTATATTAAAATATTCAACTGACAACGTTTATTTCATTAGAAGTATATTGGAAACCATGAAAGTGAGAGATTATCACAGAATAGGGATTTCATAGGTTCAAAGAGTAATTTTTTTAACACGGTCTCATTGTAGCCTATGTTAGCCTGGAACTATGTAGCCAAGGATGACCTTGGACTTCTGAGCTTCTTGGTTCCACCTTCTTGTACTAAAAATAGATTTTCTCTGGCCCTGGAAGTTTTGTTGACGCTAGGGGTGGTGTAAGGTGAGTGTGTTGGCAAGCACTCTACCAACCAAGGTCTAATCCCCAGACCCAAGAGTAACCATTTCTTTTTCTCACTCATGTATATGTATGTGGTGCATGTTTTGGGTGCATGCATGTATATCTGCATGCAGGAATATGCATATGAAGGTCTAGGACTGCCCCCAGTAGTCTTTCGGATTGCTTTCCATACTCATTGAGGCAGAGTGTCTCAGATGAACCCAGAACATGGCACGTCAGCTAAACTTGCTAACTAACTTGTTTCAGGGATCCCCTTCTCTGTCTTGTGAGCTGGACTGCCATACCCAGCATCTACGTGGGTTCTGGAGATCTGAACTTCATCCCTCACACTCGAGCGGCTGGGCTTTAACCACTGAGGCATCCTCTCCACCTTAGTATTCATTTAAATAGCAAAAAAAATAGCAATATACACGAATATGTTCGCACATGAAAAAAATTGGGTACACGGTGGGGGGTTGGAGTGGAGGGGGTCTACTGCTTTGATTGACTTTTAAAACTGTGGATCACGTCATATTTTGGCCATATTCATAATCATAATAACCTTTATGACATTTTCAATTTAATACAAAGGTCGCTAAAGACCTCTGCTTGGGTAACATAGGCATTAAATATTAACACACGGTTGGCATCTTGGTACTTCTGAGATTATTTCACACCGTCAGCTCTTGAGTTTTATTAGTGTTGGCAGAGCAGACACGATGAAGGCGCAGAGTTTACTGCCCAAGCATCTGGAGTACGTGTGACCTTAGAAACGCCAGGGGGAGGTCCTGAAGGGAGAGCACTCTCTCTCGCTGGCTTCGGTTCCGTTCTTAAAAATCACGTTGATAAAGGAAATATACCCATGCAGGATAAAGCAGCTAGCATCTACTACAAACGTAAAGAATTGAGCAGCAATTTCTGGTCACTCATTCAAGCTCTTAAAGCGAGCTCTCCCTGTGGTTTATGAAAGTCGATGATTAGACACAAACTTTAAATGAACGGACTTTCTAATGCAGGTCATTTTGAGAAGTCCTGAAACTATTCCAAATGATCAACTTAATCATCTTTGCTCTGTGGTAGGGACGGCGACCCACTCACTAGGACATCAAACATCTTCCCCTGGTCCACAGAACAAAGCCTAACACCAAACACCTCACCCTGTGGGTGTGTGCCGGTCAGAGGCAGCCCTTACCTTCACATACAGGAAGATCTCAGGGCTGCTGGAAACTGCTTTATTTTCTTCCAAACTAAGAGCAGCAGAAGCGTAGGTAGGGAAGTCCTGGCTGGTGGGAAAGGCCTTGCTGTGCTGAAGCGTGAAGCTCGGTGAAGGAGCCGAATCCTCCTTGACCATTCTTCCACTCTGCTGCAGTTCCCACAGCAGAGGCTCTAGGCTCTGCCTTGGTGAGTGTAGGCTTCTTCTGGGGATGTCCCTGAGCTCCTGGGGCTCAGAAAACACCTCGTCAGGCTGGAGGTAGCTTCCTGCTTCTGGCTCCAGGGAGGCTGAGGTAGCCTCCTCCCGTTTCAAGGCATACACCGACAGAACATCGTATTCCTGGTTTTCTAACTGAGGGGCATGCAGATGATTTTCACCCCTCAAGTCTTCATGGACTCCATCATATAAAGGACCCTCATTTTCCTCCAGCTGGGGTGGGCCTTCGTCTCTCCTCCCCTTTTGGATTGTGTCATAGATGTCACTGTAGTCTTCATTGCTCATGCTGCTTGGTCCAGTAATTCCTCTCCCAGGCAGAGCCGAGCAGGACGGGCTAGGGAAAGGATGAGGATGCTTCCCCACCACGCAGAGGAGTCAATGGCTTTTGAGACGCAGCCCTCAGCAGCAGCTATCAATGACAGGTCTCTAGCAATCATTTACCGGAGATTTAATAAGCAAACCACAGGTCCAATGGATGGAAGATAAAGTTCATCCACCCGGTTAACTCCTTCAGCTCCTGAGGAGGCTTTCGGCTAGACTCTGGTGGTTCCTCCACTGCCAGTAACTCTGGGAAGTCCAAGTATCAGCCCAGTCTGAGCAGAAATTCTGCAATTTTAGCCTCTTGGAGGAGCCCTCTGCTGGAATCACCCAAACTACTGACCTATCCAAGAAAACTACGGGTCAGTGGCGACCTATAATTCAGTGTAGAGCTGCCTGCTTACAGCTGAATTCATCGCACAATGATCCTTTGCAAATTGATGTCCTGTTATGATTTCCACACAGCCCAGCAAAGTAACTGATTTCAGTTACAGTTCTTATCTGGAGACACCAGAAGGTGATTCAATGGCTGAAGGAAAAGAAGATAAGAACCCGGCGGGCCATCAATACCAACCACACAAAGTGAGACTCAAACATCGGTCCCTTTGGTTTTTATCTTTAGCCTTCACATCAAACACGGTTGTCCACCGTCAACAGACATCCACTGAGAGGGTCCCATACACAGGATTCTCAACTGAGTACCAATAAAGGAAGCAGAAGAAACTCTGGGGAGAAAGAATAAATGATAGCCGGCAAACCCTAGCAGACACAGAAAAGCGACTGGAGGTGTTGGGTGGAGTTGACCTTAGCCTGGGCTGTGCCCTAAAGGGCTTTATGTGCAAGGCCAGCCCACAAGTGTCATCCACAGAGGCCGCCCATCTTCCTGCACGTGCTCTTGGTAGTCTGGTGCTCCCTTCCACTAAGGACTGTTTCTCTTCAGCATACCAATTGTCCCTCTTTTCAAAGTGAAATTTATATGGATTGTAAATGAATTCTAATGCCAAAAATTATGGGAAAAGCAAGACACACTGCAGTCCTGGTGGAAGGACTTAAAAACGTTTGGTTTGGGTATGTTATAGCAACACCATCTTATATCCTTAGGTTTCTAAGGACTCTCGAGAAAACCTTGTTCTGAGGGCAGGTAAGGACTGGATAAAGCAAAGGAGGCCAGAGGTCTATTTTAAAGAATAATGGTTAATCCTTTTGCTTATTACACTGTGAAGATATGTCTTTCCCAAGGTTCCCTCTGATTGGTTTAATAAAGACCTGGACAGTCAAAAGCTAGGCAGGAAATATAGGAAGGATTTCTGGGCAGAGAGAGGAAGTAGGAGGAGATAATCGGGGTGTAGAGGAGACACCAGGAGACATGGAGACGAAATAGAAGGTGCAAGATGAAATAGAGGTGATAGAACATAGATAGCACATATATTAATATGAATGGGTTAATTTAAATTATCAGAGCTAGTTAGGAACAAGCCCAAACTATAGGTCTAGCTTTCATAATTAATAAGGAGTCTCCATGTCATTACTTGTGAGCTAACAGCCCAAAGAAAAATCTGACTATAGCTATGTAGACCAGACTGGCCTCAACCTCCCAGAGATCCATCTGCCTCTGCCTTCCCAGATACCAACTCTGTATCTTATTAAAATGCTATAATGGGTACAGACGTCTGTCAAATTATCTTAGGTTTCAGAATTGGATGTGCGTAACTTAATGGTCCCAGCTCAAATTCTCTCCATAACTTTAAAGCTTTTTATAACCATACAGACCATCCACCTGACATTTTATTTCAGATTTGAGATACAAATTAAAAAATAGAACTCAGAAAGAGAAGTGCATGCTCCAAGTTCACACAGGTTAATGGCAGTTTATACCAGCTATGATTCCCAAACCTCTAGCCAGGCTTGGGGATTGCGGGTAGAGAGATGGTTCAGCAGTTCAGAGCACCTGCTGCTCTTGCAGAAGACCCAGGTTCAGTCCCTAGCACCCACATGGTGGTTCACTGCTATTTGTAGGGCCAGTTCCAGGGGATGTGATGTCCTCTTCTGACCTCCAAGGGTCCTGCATACACATGCTGTGTATCCATCCGTGCAGACAGACACTCATACACATAAAATAAACAAAATCTTAACCTCCTTCTGTGTGATCACCCTGCTACTCAACTTCTTAGTGTTTCCAATCATTTTTTTTTCATGATCATCCCCATATACTCAAGCCCCATAGAGAAATAATGCTCTTCGCTCTCTGAAAATCATTTTTGATCTCTTTAGTGGAGACACTGCTTATTTCTGTAGTTCACAATACTTACTAAAATGTGCATCTCTTGCAGGTCAGTCTGTGTCATCACCCCAAAGTAGCATTCAATCGTGTGTAGGTATCTGTAGAACAGGTGTCTTACTTTTCTCATTGCGGTGACCAATACCTGACCAACAGCAGCTTGTGGACGGACGGGCCTATTTTGTCTTGCAGTTTAAAGGCACACAGTCTATCATGGCAGGGAAAGCATGACACCTGTTCTCCCTGCATCCACACGGATGAGGTAGAGAGAGCTAAGTGCTGATGCCTGCCTGGCTTTCTCTTTTCTCCCCCTTTGATCCAATCAGATTCTGAGATGACACCACTCAGATTCAGAGTGAGTTTTCTCTCTTCAGTTAAATTTACTTGAAACACAATCACAGACATGCTCAGAGGTGAGCATTAGGTCTCCCAGCTAATTCCAAATCCAACCGTGTTGACAATGGAGATGGAATCATCGCTGCCTGTTACTGGATTCCCACAGTGACTCAGTGAGGTCTACCCAAGCCTGTCTAAGTTCAGGGCCCAAGGTCACATAGAAAGTGTTTCTCATCTAAGGGCATCCTTGCTCTGATATGTAGTCACAGGCTATAAAATAGAACAAAGCATTCTGCTGAACGGCAAGCTGGGTCATGTCTCTTTCTGCTCCCATCAGCAAAGGTTCCCTATTTTTATCAGTAAAATCTAAAGTCCTTACACTAGCCCACAGGATTTTCATAAATTAAGCTCCTCCCCCTTGCCTGTTATTGACATACCTGCCTAGACAACCTGGCTTTGTTGTCAACACGGGAACACTTCAGGAAACTTACCTATAAGGACCTTTATATTTTCTGTTGTTTGTAGCTGGAATATACTTCCTGTTAATCATCTAAAAGCAACTCTTCAGACTCCTACAGGCTCTGCTGAGGTATTCCCTTCTCAAAAAGCCGCTTTGACTATCCCATCGGATACAACCAGACAAGGTCCATATCGACTTTACCTATCACTGTAGATCTTAAGCCTAGTTTATACCTGACACACCCAAGGGATTAGTAGACATTCGCTGAGTAAAGAAAGTGGAGATGTGTCTAGAACTCATGTTCTGCTCTCTTTTGTCCCGTTTGCATGAGTGGTATCTCATTATAATTCACCATGTCATAAACTTAGCCAGAAAAACCTTGGGGTCAACCTTTATTACAATTTAGATATAAAATGTTTCCCACAGACTCATGTATCTGAAGACTTGGTCCTCAAATGGCGGCATTGTTAGGGGAAGGTTATGGAACCTAGCCAGAAGAAGTTGCTATCTGGTGGAATGGGCATGTAGGGTTCGTAGCTGGTTGCTTCCTGTCCCATCTTTACCTCCCACGGTCTAGCATGTAAAAAAACTGTTCCAGAGTCCCAGCTGCCACACGACTGCCACTGTGAACTGAGAGCTAAAATAAATCCTTGTTCCAAGTCTCTTCTTGTCACATATTCCTGGTGGCAATGACTAGAGCAGCCGCTGTCACAGCCTGGTTTTCTGCACTGCGTGAATTTGATGCCGCTGAGTTGATGCAGGACCAGCAGATACAGTAAAATCACATCACTTTTAACTGAAGAGCATCACTTGAGAAACACAGATGCTAACCTTCCCTTTGCCACCACCCAAAGTGTTCTGTTCAAACTGACTTCGAAACTTGTCAATTTTGAAAAAAATACTTATTTTTTTATTTATTGCGTTTCCTGACTTTAAGAGCAAGGAATGATGTAGGTGTTGCTTTCATTGGTTAATTAATAACGAAAACTGCCTGGCCTGATAGGTCAGAACATAGGAAGGCGGGGAAGACAGAACTGAATTCTGGGAGAAAGAAGCAGAGTCAGGCAGAGGCAGAGAACCGCCCGCCATGAAGCTGCCAGGTCAGACATGCAGAATATTTCCCGGCAAGCCACGACCTCGTGGTGAGATACAGATTATTAGAAATGGGTTGAATCAATATGAGAGAGTTAGCCAATAAGATGCTACAGATAATGGGCCAGGCAGTGTTTAAATGAATACAGTTTCTGTGTAATTATTTCGGGGGTAAGCTAGCTGGGATCCAGGCAGGAATGCAGCCCACTGCTCATTCTGGAGAAGACTAGGAAGGAGGAAGCCCACTTCTCCATTCCTGCCCAGACCACAGAGAAGCAAGATGTAACCTGCCCTGCTGGAAAAGGTACTGAGCCACGTGGCTAACATAGATGAGAATAACAGGTTAATATAAACTATAAGAGTTAACAAGAAGCCTGAGCTAATGGGCCAATCAGTTTATAATCTTATGGAGTCTTGTGTGTGATTTTCTTTGGGGCTTGCTGGTTGTGGGGTACTGGGCGGGACAGATACCCCAAAAAGCCGGCCCCTCATGTTACAAAGGAATGTAGCAATTTACTCAATAAACCCTTTAATAGATTTCTAGAACTTTAAGAGGCCTCAGAGACCATCTGGTCCAACTTATTTATTTAATAGAGGGCCAGAAATATGGGCCAACTTTGTCATCCTCCTTGGACCATGACCTCCCATAGGAATAAACACTTTCTTTCTAACCCCTAGACTTTTTTATTGTTTTATTGAACAATATATTTTTCTCCACTCCCCTCCCTTCCTCCCTCTTCCCCTTCTACTCTCTCCCAAGTTCCCCATGCTCCCAATTTACTCAGGAGATCTTGTCTTTTTCTAATACCCATGTAGATTATATCTATGCAAGTCTCTCTTAGTGTCCTCTTTGTTATCTAGGTTCTCTGGGATAGTGAATTGTGGGCTGGTTTTTTTTTTGATTTATGTCTAAAA